ATAGTATATAAAGCAAAAACAAAGAATCCTCAAACTGGAAAACCAATCAAAAGCATCAGAATAGCAGCTCTTTAATAAATGGCCCTAACAAAAGGCATCGTGCATATCAAAAACAGGAAAAGCAACAGATTAATATTATTCAACATATTTAGATGTAACCATATTTGTAATCTTTAACATTTTCTAAAGTAGCTGTAATTTAATTACACATTTTTTTTCCTCAGTAACTGTAACTAATTACTGTTACTTTTAATTTGTAATTAAATTACGTATCACCGTTACATGTAATTAGTTACTCCCCAACACTGGTGGTTAGCACTGTGGGCTCACAGCAAGAAGGTCGCTGGTTTGAGTCTCGGCTGGGTCAGTTGGCATTTCAGTGTAGAGTTGTTCTCCCTGTGCTGGCGTGGGTTTCCTCCGTGTGCTTTGGTTTCCCCCACATGCGCTATAGGGGTAAAACATATGCTGGTATAGTTGGCAGTTCATTCAGCTGTGGCGACTACTGATAAATAAAGAAACTAAGCCGAAGGAAAATAAATGAATAATGAAAAACTTATTATTGTACTAATATCATAGAAATATGTACGATTGATAATAACAATAAAACACCATTGAGTTAAAACACACAAACTATTAGGAAATATCCTTGCAGCGTGAAACACCAGCAGGTGTGTATTGCTCGTAGGAACTATTTTTATAATAAGATGCTAATGCAGTGAAGTGCAACACAATTAAATAAGGGCTGAACTCATCAGGTAAACACGGGATTGTGCTGCGCCTGCAACTCCAGCCCGGTTAACAAGCACTTCTGCAGGACTGACTGGAGAAAACAAGCTTGGAGAATAATCACAGATATCTTTCTCCAGCTCGTCTCTCTAACAGGCCAGTCATATTAAAGTCACTCAGCTGCTCGCGCGCATGTGTGTGTGTGCTCTAGCCTTAAGGAGCCAGGCTTTCTCTGTTGTCTGACAACTCATTACCTTTAATTTGGTTGATGGCTCCGGAGCTGAGGGGACACACAGAGACACGGGGCCCCAGAGAGCAGTGCAGGGCCCGGGATGATGCAAGGCATATTTCTCGCTTCTCTAATGACTGCCGAGAAAAATAAAATATAAGCTTTTGTGTGCATGTGTGTGTGTGTGTGTGTGTATGTATGTGACTGACAGCTCTGTACCTCACCTGAGGGCAGAGAGGGAAATGAGCGCTCAACGTGTGTCAACCTGTCCGTCTGCACACACACACGCACACATATGCTCACACTCAGGCCCACATACACTTATGCACACATGTGCACACACACACACACACACACACACACACACACACACACATATATATATATGTATATAAATAAAATTAATTCATTTTCTTTTCTGCTTAGTCTCTATTAATCAGGGGTCGCCACAGCGGAATGAACCACCAACTTATCCAGCATATGTTTTACACAGCGGATACCCCATCCAGTCGCAACCCAACTCTGGGACACACCCATACACACTCATTCACACACATACACCATAGCCAATTTAGCTGATTCAATTCCCCTATAGCGCATGTGTTTGGACTTGTGGGGGACACCCGAGCACCCGGAGGAAACCCACGCCAACACTGGGAGAACAGGCAAACTCCACACATGCCAACTGACCCAGCTGAGACTCAAACCAGCGACCTTCTTGCTGTGAGGTGATTGTTGTACCCACTGCGCCACCGTGACGCCCTCTTTTTTTTTTTTTTTTTTTTTTTTAAATTTGGAAATTACTAGGAGTGTGACAAGATGCTTACGAGATGAGACACGAGATTGGGTTCACGAGAATGAGACAAAATTTTGACAGCGTTTTTAATAAATCTTCAAAGATGATATATATGAATGGAAAATAGGCTTTTATTCAACAACAAAAAAAGTAGTTGTAGCCTCTTTTGGATGCGTCAACCCTTAAACTTAGGTGAAGAAAACAAGTGACGCACAACTCCAAGACCAGCCTGGGCTGCCAGGTGTGTGGAAAGCTCTTGATTTGCAGTTCAAATCCTATCCTGCCTCCAATCTTCAATGCTAATTTCACCGTCACCCTCCATCATAACATTACAACTCACGAGACAACTTTCACCTCAATAAGAAATCTCATTATGAATTAATCTCGCAAGATCTCATCACACCCCTAGAAATTAGGCAACTTTAATGCAAAATAGTTTGGTATATTTACCTTCGGCCCACAGCTATCAATGATATTTGGTTTTGGGGCGTTTTTCGAAAAAGTTTGGGCACCCCTGGATTAGACAACAAACAGAAATGGTGAGCAGGAGGAGTCTGATAGGCTTAATAACTTTCCCCAAACCCTTTTCCCCATCTTTCTTAATAAAATGCCTACTTAACTACATCCAATCAGCTCGCAGTAGAAAAAACAAGCCACGCCCAGTGCTTTATCGATTAATATTACGTTTTTCTAGGAACTGCGTCACAATAGGAACAAAAAACGGTCGCAGCATCCGCTTCATGCGGACTTTAAATTCTCACATTATGTCTGTCTGAGGTATTGGGTGTGGCTAACATACTTAATCACGCCCCTTCAACTGTCAGTTTAGAATACAAATAGAAATGTTGAGAAGGAGGAGTCTGATAGGTTGTAATAAATCTCCCCAAACCCTTTCCACCATCTTTCTGAATGAAATGCCTACATTACCACATCCAATCAGCTCACAGCAGAAAAACAAGCCACGCCCACTTTTTTCTCATTTAATAATCTGTTTCTCTAGGAACTTTGTCACAATACAAGCAAAAAATGGTCGCAGCTTCTGTTTCATGCAGACTTTAAATTCGTAGACTACATCTGTCCAAGGTGTTGGGCGTGGCTAACATACTTAACCACACCCCTTCAGCTGTCAGTTTTGGCAAAAAAACAGAAATGGTGAGGAGGAGGAGTCTGTTGTTAGGTTGTAATAACCAAGATTTACCAATCTTTCTGAATGAAATGCCTACTTTACCACATCCAATCAGCTGCACTACAAAAAAACAAGCCACACCCACTGTTTTCCCCTTAAATATTCCGTTTCTCTAGGAACTGCGTCACATTAAAAAAACGGTCGCAGCTTCCAGTTCATGACGACTGTAAGTGTAATAGTCCCCAGTGTAGTTGAAGCTCTGGATCATTTTCGTCCCTCAGGATTATATGAGGTGTGTCCGGGTTTCACCTGCGCTCCGACTCTTCCTGGCATCTCCAGCCGCTCCTAAAGTCCCTCAATGACAGAGGACTCTACCTTGTGTGTTTTTCACTAATTGAAAAGACTAATGAGCTCCCGAGAGCTCCATCCTATTAGCACACACTTAATTACAGCTCCAGCAGCAGCAGCCAAAGCACAGATCAAGACCAGCCGAGACGCGGCGTTGACCTGCTTTTTGTCGTTGTTTTGGGACTTTGCATTCCAGGAAGGAACAGATGTCTATTGCTTTTTCTTTTTTTTATAAAGCGTGTTTATTTCTGGCAGAAGTGTGTGTTGCTCTGGCTCATCTGTTTATTTTCCAGTGCGGTTTGCCTAAATTCCACCTATTAAAGATTTAACTCCTCTATCAGCAGGGTTTCTCCGGCACATGGTTAGCGGAGCCTTTTCTGCTCCAGATGCTGTTTTAGAGGCAGATTTTACTCATCAAGAACAAAGCATTGAAATACATTTCATTTATTCATTTTCTTTTTGGCTTAATCCCTGTATTAATCAGGGGTCACCACAGCGGAATGAACCGCCAACTTATCCAGCATATGTTTTAAGCAGTGGATGCCCTTTCAGCTGCAACCCATACACTCTCATTAACACACATACACTATGGGCAATTTAGCTTACCCAATTCCCCTACAGCGCATGTGTTTGGACTGTGGGGAAAGCCGGAGCAAACCCACAGAACATGCAAACTCCACACAGAAATGCCAACTGGCCCAGCCGAGGCTCGAACCAGCAACCTTCTTGCTGTGAGGCGATTGTGCTATTCACTGCACCACTGTAACAGCTCTTTCTGATATGTTCATTGTTGAATATACAGACTTTTGAAAAGCTCACATTATAATACCAGCATTTAGCTACATGCTGCGTTATCCTGCTGGAAGTAGCCATCAGATGATGGAGACACTGTGCTCATAAAGGGATGGACATGGTCAGCAGCAATACTCAGGTAGGCTGTGGAGTTGAGACGATGCTCAATTGGTACTAATGGACCCAAAGAGTGCCAAGAAAATCTCCCCCACACCATTACACCACCACCACCAGCCTGAACCGCTGATACAAGGCAGGATGGATCCATGCTTTCATGTTGCTGATGCCAAATTGTGAGCCGAGCATCCGAATGTGTCAGCAGAAATGGAGACTCATCAGAGCAGGCAACGTTTCTCCAATCTTCTGTTGTCCAGTTTTGGTGAGTCTGTGTGAATTGTAGCCTCAGTTTCCTGTTCTTAGCTGGCAGGAGCGGGACCCGGTGTGCTCTTCTGCTGCTGTAGCCCATCCGCCTCAAGGTTGGACGTGTTGTGTGTTCAGAGATGCTCTTCTGCAGAGCTCGGTTGTAACGAGTGCTTTTTTGAGTTACTGTTGCCTTTCTGTCAGCTGGAACCAGTCTGGCCATTCTCCTCTGACCATCAACAAGGCATTTGCGCCCACAGAACTGCCGCTTACTGGATATGTCGTCTTTGTCGGACCATTCTCTGTAAACCCTAGAGATGATTGTGTATGAAAATCCCAGTAGATCAGCAGTTTCTGAAATACTCAGACCAGCCCGTCTGGCACCAACAACCATGTTCAAAGTCACTTAAATCCCCTTTCTTCCCCATTGACCATGTCTACTTGCCTAAATGCATGTTGCTGCCATGTGATTGGCTGATTTGAAATTTGCAGTTGGACAGGCATACCTAATTAAGTGGCCAGTGAGTGTATATTGTATACACACACACATACATACACACATCCACACTTTTTGATTGACTAATCCATGCATGCATTATTAAAAAAAGACACGAACATCATTCTTTTTTAGAAACAATTTACAAGTTTTATTTATCAAGTTCACACACTTCAAAACTGGGGTAGAGGGGTCATTGCAAAGAGGACTAATAAATCGCCATTACTATGAATTAAACTCCAAAACTACCATTTAATTACAGGCAAGCTTAAAGTTTCTTTTTTTTGTTGTTTTGTTCCTTCGTGTCTTTTAAAAGTAGTTATTTTAATACACGTATCCTTTATACAAGTTTACTGAATAAATGCATCAAATAAGAAACCAGTTCCAAAGTAGACGTTACAAAAAATACATTGTTTTATACAGACACAGAAAAAGCAGATGATCAAATATTGACCAATAATATTTATTTCCTTTTCACTTATCAAAAAAGTTGAACCTGACATCTATTTCTGGGAAAGGTAAAAAGCAAATGTACAGCATCGTTGAACAGATGTTTGAAGCAACACCACACTTTTTTGGGGGGGAAATAGACTAATTTTACAGCTTTCTTAGCTGAGTTTTCCCATGTTTGAATCCATTCAGATGATCTCAAGGTCTGGCTGGAGCAGTTTTAGGTTAGCTTAGCATAAATCATTGAATCAGATTAGACTATTAGCATCTGGATTAAAATGTAAAAAAAAAAAAAAAAAGTTATGATAGTTTCCTTATTTAAAGCTGGACTCTTCTGTAGTTTAATCCTGTACTTAGACTGAATACTTTTAGCTTAGCATAAAGCACTGAATCGGATTAGACCATTAGCATCTCACTCAAAAAAGTAAAAAAAAGAGTATTGTTAATTTCCCTATTTAAAGCTGGCCTCTTCTGTAATTTTATCTTGTATTAAGACTGAACACTTTTAGCTTATCTTAGTATAAATCATTGAATCGGATTATACCATTAACCTCTGGTTTATTTTTTTTTTAAATGACAGTTTTGATGACTTTGCTATTTAAAGCCGGACTCTTCTGTAGTTTCACACTTTTAGCTTAGCTTAGCATAAATCATTGAATCAGATTAGACCATTAGCATCTCATTTAAAAATGTAAAATGTTTTGATAATTTCCCTATTTAAAGCTGGACTCTCTTCTGTAGTTTCATCCTGTTCTAATACTGAAAACTTTTAGCTTAGCTTAGCATAAATCATTGAATTGGATTAGGCCATTAGCATCTGGTTTATAAATATTTAAAATGATAGTTTTGATGATTTTCCTACTTAAAGCTGGACTCTTCTGTAGTTTCTTCGTGTACTGAGACTGAAAGACGTGAAATGAACAGTTGTTATTCTCTAGACTGATGTCTACGAACTATAATCTCACTCTAGCGTAATAATTAATTAACTTTAGGCTACAGCAGGCGCAGTGATATTACGCAGCGACTTAAAATAGAAGTGTGAGTATGAGAGTATAGTTTCTAGTCATATCCGCCTACAAAATAGCAACTTTCCATTTTCTATAATTTAAACTATAATTTAATCATTTAAAACATTTTCAAACCAGATGCTAATGGTCTAATCTGATTCAATGATTTATGCTAAGCTAAGCTAAAAGTGTTCCGTCTTAGAACAGGATGAAACTACAGAAGAGTCCAGCTTTAAATAGGAAAATTAATCAAAACGCTTTTTAACATTTTTGAGTGAGATGCTAATGGTCTAATCCGATTCAATGATCTATGCTAAGCTAAGCTAAAGTGTTAGCCCCAGACTAGTAGATCAGCTGAATAGATTTAAACATGCTAAAACTCTCCTGTTGAACTCTGTAAAAGGAGTCTATTTAGTAAAGTGTGGTGTTTGTTCAACAGAATTGTCAGTCGCTGGATTTGGTGACCAGAGAAAGCGGCTGCGACTGGAACAGAGCATGATGGGAATGAAGAGCGGCCTGGTGGAACGGAGAGGGCGGAGTGAGGAGGGCGAAAGGGAGTGGCCTGGAGAGAAGGGGCGGAGTTGGCAGCCCAGAGGAGGAGGAGGATGATGATGATGATGAAGATGGCGGTGGTTTGGACAGCAGCGGGAATCTCTCTGGTTTGGTGGTCAGGGACAACGGCTGCGCCTGCTCAGAGTGTGTGGCGGCTGGTGCAGCGGGTGATGCCAGAGCTGCAGAGGGCGTGGCCGGAGAGTCCAGCATGCTGCCGTGGGAGGAGCCTGGGCTGTCAATCATCTTCTCCTGAGGAAGGTACTGCACACATGGCTTCTTACTCCGCATGGAGAAATCTGGAAGAAGATAAAGAACAACCTCATCAATGATTTAGGAATGCTTGACTGTAACTACAGCAGAGCTGGAGAAGACCGGGAGAAACACTGACGTTATGATGCACTCACAGAAACACTGAAGGGCAGTTTCTGACAGAAGTCTCACTGACTTTACTTTTGAAAATATTAAGCTGCTTTTGTTTCTACGACATACTCAGAACTTGGTGGATATTTTAAAGCAGTGTTTCTCAACCACGTTCCTGGAAGACCACCAGCACTACATGTTTTGGATGTCACCTCTGTCACACCCATTACAGGTCTTTCAGTCTCCGCTAAAGAGCTG